TGCATGCGCGGAAATGCATGCGCGGAAATGCATGCGCGGAGATGCATGCGCGGATATGCATGCGCCCACGGCAAGAAGCAACAATGAGAAAAAAAAGGCGGCGGAAGCAAAGGGAAGGGATCACGCACCGCGCTCCTTCAGGACGCTCGAGCACGGCTTGCAGTAGGGCTTGTTCAGGCGCCGAACGAAGGACGAGCCGGACAGGACGTCCCCGCACTCGGCACAGGAGAAGTGCTCCGGGTGCCACTTCATGTCCAGCGCCGTGATGCACCGCCCGGCGATGGACTCTCCGCACTTGGCACAGCGCATGCCGAAAAGCTTTTGGAAGTCATCCGGGCAGTACAGCCGCTTGACGGGCTCCGGCGACTCGTAGAAAGAACCCTCCGGGAAGGGCATCAGGCATTGCACACAGACAAAGCACTCCGGGTGCAGGGCCTGGTTGGACGCCGAGATCATCTGCCCCGTGATGGGCAGCCGGCAAACGCTGCAGTCGGGGGGGCTCATGGTGGGGTGCGTGCGTGCGTGCGCGCGTGCAAAAGAGCAGGTGGGGGAGGGAGGAGGAGGCAACGGGGGCCGACAGTGGGGCGAGGGGAAGAAGGGGGGGGGGAGGGAAAACGGGGTAACCCGGCTCCGGCTGACCAGCCACTGGACAGATCCCCCTTGTGTATGTGTGTGTATGTGTGTGTGTGAGAGAGAGAGAGAGAGAGAGAGAGAGAGTCATCGATGGGTGGGCTGGAGAGATGGAAGGCCTACGGCGGCGCCCTCCTGCGCGCGCCCGGGGGGAGCGAACCGATACACACGCCGCTCACCCGAAGCGGCCGCCCGCATCTCGGTCTGCCCCCATCCCCGACTCCCAGTCAGGAAATGGAAGCAAACGGGGAAAAAAAAAAAAAACATCCCCCGGTGGCCGAGGAATGTACATTGGCGTGCGCAGGGACGGCGGTCGCCCGGCCCCGGCCGCGGGGGAGGACAGGGGTCGGCGCTCCTGCGGCGCCGCACTTGCGCCCTGTCCCGGGCGGCCAGCCGCGCCAGGAGCGCCTCCTGTGTGGGTGTGGGTACGCGCGCATATACACCACGACCCGGCCGCGAAAGCGCCCAGGAGATCCCGTCTCTTGGCGGGGGGCGGGCAAAAGGGAGGAGGGGGCGAGGAGCGGCCAAGCCCCGGCGTCGCACGCCTCCGCCCCCCCCCCCCCGCCCTCCGTGAATGTGCTCAGCCCAACCCTGATTCGGCGCCGGGTCATGTGCCCTGGATAGATCATGCGCACGCCAAAATGTCGTTCCTCGTATCGGCCCCGGGGCGGCGCCGTGCACTGGCGCCTGCGGCGAGAACGCGACCCGGGCCAAGTGCGTGAGCCCGGCCGCAAGAAGCCGCCAGGGCTGCTCCCGCCACCTGCCCGGCAACGGCCCGTGGTGCAGGTGGGGGGGGGGGGGGGGGGGGGGGGGGGGGAAACGAGACGGCGATCTCTCGAGGCCAGGCGCAGAGTGTGCGGTGGGGTCTCTGCTCCAAGGAGTCGAGGGGCGTGGCCGCGCCGATGGGGAATCCACAACCGCAGCCGTCCCCCACCACGAGAAGGGGGAACCGTGAGGAGGCATTCCCGGCCGGGGGGGGAGTCGGAGAAACACGTCTTGCGTGCCGGCAAGGTGCGCAGGTGTGTCCCGGTCGCCGCGCCCCACCTCCCCAGGGGGGCGCGGGTGGTGGGGGGCGCCCAAAAGCCCAACCAATCGCCCGCCTCGCTGTTGGCCCCTCGCTGGACAGCACGGCGACGCGCATTTTTGTAAGCCAGCCCCGGCCTCCGGGCTCGGGCCGGCCAGACACCCAGACTCCTCTTTGCTCCTGTATGCCCGCCTCTCCTCCTCCCCTGCTCCTTTCCTCCCGCGCCCTCCTCGCTCCCTGCTCGCCCCTGCCCCACCCCCCGCCCCTGGCCTGCCCTGCCAACACGCCCGGTGCATGCGCATGCACGCACGCACATCCACACATACATACACACATGCGCGCGTATGCCCTTCATCCGCCTGACCTCCCTCCACCTGCTCCGCTCTTATTCCGGCTTTTTTCCACAGCTCGAACCAAAGCGGTCTGCCTCCCCCCCCCCCCCGCCCGCAGCTGGAGCTGCTCTGCGCAGCATCGGAGGGC